CGTCAAAGAGACAAATGAAGTCAATCCCTCGACCAACGCTCCGCCGAAAACGGTTACACTATCAATCCTCTTTCTGTTTCACTCCCGCGGAGAATGGCAGCATTCGCTGATGAGGCCGGTGAAACGTTTGAGAATGTACCAAGTTCACTTTCTGATGTTGGGAATTATGACAACTACTATGGCAGACTACTTCGTACTAGGTGCCCTGACGACAAGACCAAGTTGCGACAACGAGGTCAACCCACTTCTTTAAGTCTCTTCATTTATGATTGCTGAGCTCGCTTTCCTTTCAACTGAACGTGTGTACAGAAGCGATTCCGATCTCGATTCCACTAGCTGGCGACAGCATCTTTCTCTTGACTAGCTGTCGGTTGGGGATTACCTCGGAAACAGCGTCAATAGAAATGTTCCAGTAAAACCAATCTACAGTTGGCCGTCGTCGACCTTCCAATCTCTTCACCAAACACTTTCACTCGAAATGGAAGTAAGCACAACAATTATATTTACATTCTTGTTGATGCTGTCCCTGAGGTGATCTCTCTCGATTCCGGTGAAATTGTGCCAAGTCTTACTCCATCATATGTTAGACAGCATCAAATATGAGTATCATTCTTATATCCCCTTTCAAGTCAACGAGTAAAAAAATTCATCGAATTATTCGAACAAACTGCGAATATATCCCAAATTTATATATTTTTTAGGTCCAGAGTGATTTGATTAGTTCAAGTCATGTGTAAATCTGGGAGCTGGCCCAAAGGATACCATCTTGCTCTTCTGGACGGATCGGCTATTCAGTCTTTTGATCACACATCTTCAGGTTAAATGTAAATCAGTTTAACAACTGTGGAACTAGAGAATCCTTGAAATGCACATTTTTTTGCAAGCCTACATCCGACAGGCTATTGCTACAACTGGGCTAGATGAAGTCTGTCTAAAGATAACTGTTGTTCATGTCAAACTCATTTTGATTCCGAGGGAAAGTGTGCGTAGCAAACATTCGAAGCTAGCTCCTGTCAGAAGGCGACAGCAAGATCATCTTGCCCAGAAGTTGGTTTGCTTTACTGAAAGATTCTGATATACGCTGAGCGCCAGGCAGTCAACATGATTTATAATCATATACCGTCACATACATTTTTCTGAGGCCTCGGGAACAGCTTCAATCAGATGGTTCCAGCTAACGAATGGGAGCCCGCCATCATCTTCTGATGAGATCGAGTATCCATAACATTTCATTCGAAATGAACTGAGCTCCTCAATTGTAGACGGAGAGATTTCTCGAAACCCAACTTATATTCGCATAAATATTGTGAAAACCCGGCTTCCAGGTCATCAAATCTGCCTTTCAGAACGAAAAGTTAAACAAGTGTCTTTAAAGGTTGGCCCTATCCTTGCTCAGTTCGATAGGGTTTGGAAGGAATATCAACGATAAATCTTAATCTTCTGCCCAATGATTCAGGTGAAGATAAACTGCAAACCTCCAATCGTCCATTTGGCCCTCAGCAACCTGCCGGCTGGCTTGACAACTCCGCAGTACAACGAAGGCAATCTTGGGAAGTCTGCACGAGTAACCCAGCTCGGCTGCAAAAGGAGTAAAATTAGCTCCTCTCACTTCGCCTTATCACGACCACTTTGATAGAATATATAATTGTGGGTTGAATCGGCATCAGATCTTGCAACTTCAGACTAACATTGCGCATCTTGACTATAATCAGTGACCTGAGAGCTGCGAACAAATTAGGGATAACAATACATTAAACTAGTAATCGGTTGCTACGCCATTAGCATAGTATCGAGGTGCATGATTGTCTTTCATTGCCAAATTCATCCCCACATGTTTTAGATGAATAGAGCTCTGTCACGATATACCATTGTTGTGAACACTTTCATTTCATATGAAAATGCATGCTGGATAGATTCGTAGGTCGATGTCACTACAAGACGACGGGTGATTCCCATTGTTGTGTAGACAATTGGCTTTAATACGAGGCAAACTCCCTAGTTTCTGTTGAAAATGGGCTGAGCTTTCTTTCGTCCTATGACGAACATCTTCACGGCTGGTACTCATTTGTAGACTGCGCTAGTATGCATTTCGTATTAAAGCCGAATGGCTGCATAACAACGCTAATCACCCGTCGTCTTCTGGCACGATCGGACTATGGATCTCGGTATCATGCATTTTCACACGAAATAGACGCCTCCACAACGTGTTAGCTCAATAGCTCCATGGAAGCCCACCCTTACTTCGTATATACCAGGTGCAACAGTTTTGAGTGGTATTTGTGTTCAAGTGTAAGCCGGAACACACAAGATAAAATGCAATGAATGCTTGATTTGTAAGAAGAAGTTCCCTGGGCTGTCCCACTATGAAAGCTGTTTTTGTCGCCAGATTGGATTGCAGTTTCGGTCTGCTATCTCGGCCAGATTCGAGCCATTTAGCACAGCAAGTTCAGCGTGCGAATCTGACCTAAGATGCCGAAGTCCAAATTACAAATGTATTTTAGAATGCCTTAAATCCATCATGACAAGTCTGGATTTTCGCCGTCACATTTTCGTTTATAGGTAGATGGATTTGCCCTATTTCGTTTAAGGTGAATTCTCCCACAATCGTCTAGAAAACGTACTTATAACCGAAAATAAAGTAATCTCTTCTATTGTGATATCAAACACGACTTTGCTCCTCCGGCAATCCCACCAAAGGATGCAATATAGGAAAATAGCTGACATCCTTTGAAGTTCACATCTGTCCTGTGACCCACTGACTGTCGTGGCAATGTGGCGTAGTTGTCAACGTGTCGAGATTATACGCCGCAATGTCATTCTCCGAGTCCCGTTGGGGGTGAGGATGAGACCTAGGCGAGGTCGAGACTGCAGTCCACCACAGTCGGAATGAGAACACCGTTTAGGACAGCAAGGCTATGTGAAATTCAATGGAAAAGTCAGCTCTTCCCATGTCATTGTGGGAAAATTCAAATGCCATTACTTCAGCACCCTAAACGAAATAGGGTGAATACATCGAAACCCTACTTATGAACGAACAAATAAGCACAACTTTTGCCAACTACCACTTGCGTGAATAGCAGCTTTGCGCTTTCCCAGTCACCTCTTTACACCATATTCGAGTCGTTGTCACGGCATCACAAACTGTCCTGTCCGCTCGCTGGCGCTAAAACGCCAGCCAATCCCTTCAAATACAGTCTCTAAGCCTCCATGATTACCGTGTTAGGCACAGCAACCGATAGATCTCACTAAATTGGCCATTTCCTCATGTACCTCCCCTGCTTCCGATGCTGCCGGCCATGTCAGTCTCATGTCGGTCCTGCCCACCGTCCTGTCCGCCCAACCCGCGAAACTCGGCTCTCTGATCCCGCTCCAACTACTTCAAGGCACGAGTGATTGTTCACGTCTGTCTCGCGACACCCTCTCGAGACGTGAGCGCCAATCTGTCATGTTGATGCCCATTGCACATGCTAGGCTGTAGTCCGCTCCCGCCCTTGGTGAGTTCGACACGTTCTGTGGGCCGGACGATTGCCCGTTTGGCACGAGACTAGACTGAAATCTACCAAAAAGAATACGCTTTGTGTGTGTGTGTGTGTGTGTATGCATCTTTATGTGCATATAAGGCGCCATGCCTTCGACCCTGATGGTAGCCTTTCAACATTTCTCTTCGACTCACTCCACACCCTTAGACTCTCATTCACACGTACGCATACACAAATATATATACATGAGTATGTCTATATATATATGTGTGTGTGTGTGTGTATGCGTGAATGAGAGTCTAGGGGTGTGGAGTGAGGCGAAGAGTGATGTTGTAAGGTTACAATCATGGTCGAAGACTTGGTGCCGTACGGCGTGGGGCTGCCAAATTCGGCTCGATAGGCGTTTTAACACTTGTCTGTATCGTGCTTTTGATTCTGGCCACTTGAGTTGGGCAATACATTTTATGTCCGTCTGTCCGGTTGGCATCCTGTTGGCGACATGTTGTGCAGTTGTTGGGCCTCGACACCTGAGAAGGGTTGGGTGTGCTTCGTGGACGGCCGATCTACCCTTGCGTGTACCTAAGATTTGGTTACCCCCAGCAGGGTCATAGCGACCACTAACGAACACCTGTACGTGTGTTTGTGTATATGTAGACATGAATGAGTGTCTGGGGGTGTGGAGTTGATCACATTGGAAAGATGCTAGAGAAATAGACCATGTTTCTCATTCAACTATGAAATGATTAATCCACTTCCCAACACTAGTCAAAAATGTTGGCAAATGCATGAAATCCTGACGACACGTGATTTTTGCAAGTCCGGCTAAGTCCCTTAATGAGGGCATTCAGAGAGTCCATCACTTTCTGGTGCATTACTATGAGGTATTACATTGTGGGGCGGGTTTGAGACTATCTTTAAATCTTTAATTATAGTTCTAGTCGCCCTAGGTTGCTTAATGTCATGAAGAAAGAGATTTGGTGCATTTTTTATACCATTGTTTGAGTAGACTTTATGTTTCCATTGGATTTTACATAGTCTTATTTCCCCAAATATAGCATAATTAAGACCT